TCTATTTATCGAGCAACTTAACTATGGGAGATTATAAAGAGGGACATTTTTAAAACTTTACTCTAAATTATACCAAGATCGTCGCACTCCGATTTTAGTCCATTCTCGTAATCTTGTCAGTAATGTTGCCGCATAATGATATAAATTGGGTAATGAAAGCCCACCCTTATCTCTATGACTTGTTAAAATTTAATAGGCTAGGCATGGATGTTTATTACTCCAAATATATTATACAAAAAATTTCCTGGCAGGGGGATGAGTAATGTTTGAAACAAATCGAATATTTTTGGGAGAACCATCATTTTTATAATATGAATACGTCTGAGTATTAAAAATCGTGGTAAGTTCCATCTAACAAAATCCTCTCTAATTTCTGTCAGAAGTGGTATATAATTAGCCCTTATAAGAACCACAATCGAGGGTGTCAGGTTAACCCCCAAATATTTAAGCCCACCAGATGACAAATAAAACTCATGTGTGCTACTTAATTTTAACCTTAGAGCATCTTTTATATTTATATCCAATATCTCACATTTAGTAGTATTTACTTTTGAAGTTAGACATTAAGCCAAACTTTTCTATTTCCATTTTTACTTGAGTTACTGATTGGATAGGATTTGTTAATGCAAGTAAAATATCATCAGCAAATGCAAATTCCTCCATGGAATGAATATCCTCTTGTGAATTAATTTTCCCTAATATCCTGCAGAAAAGATTCCATAGCTAAAACAAAAAGGGGGGATGGGGACATCCCTGCCTTCTTTCATTTCCTATAGAAAATCATTTTGAATACTGTCCATTTACCTTTACACTACAAGTTGGGCCATTATAAAGAACTTATATCCATTGTCTAAACCTATCCCCAAACCCCTGTACCTCCAATACAGTAAAAAGATAGGACCTGTCCACCATGTCAAAGGCTTTCTCCACAACTATAGCCAAAAGCATTACAGGTTTCTTAAACCGGTTTGCGCCATGTATAAACCTTAAAATTTTAGTATTATTATGTCATGCTTCTCTTCCCAGCACAAAGCCTGCCTAATCAGGGTGGACCAGTTCAGGTAAAAGGCGTTTGAGACGTAGTGCCAATATTTTAGCATACATTTTTAAATCCATATTTGTCAAAGAGATTGGTCTTTAACTCCCACACATAAGAGGATTTTTCCCTTGTTTTGGAATAAGTGTAATAGATGTTTGTAACATTGGTGGGGGTAACGTTATCCCTGGAGCAATTGAGTTAAATGCCTTTAAAAATTAGTTTTTATTAGATTGGACTGTAGGAATTTATAACAGATTGTAAGACCATGTATCGTTGTTTGAGAAATGTCTTGAAATATTTTTACAGAAAAGTCCTCAAATTCCAATTCTTTTTGTAATCTTGTCAAACGCAGCATGTTTTCTTTCTGTGAGAAATTATGGAAGCAACATACCACATCACGCAGACTTATTTGAGGTACTTTTCTGGGCGTGAGACTCTGTGCACCCTATCAAGTTTAAATGGGTTTTCAATCAGGCACTTTAAGATCTGATTGAATAAGCTTTACAATATGTGAGATAGGTCTTTAACTTTTTTTCCTGTTGGTTCTGGAATTCCTCTTACGCTGAGATTATTTGTCCTTCACCTGTTTTCTAGATCAGCCATTTTTTTAATGCTAATACATAAGGACATAATTTGCAATTTTAAAATATCATGTAGTGCTCCATATTTTGTAGCCATTTCTTCACCCTCCTCTTACAGCATCTGAACTCTTGTTCATAGTTGAATTAAATAATCATGGAGGGATTGTATCTTTTCAGAGAAGCTTGCCTCTAGTTTACACATCATGTTTTCCATATCAATTCTAGAGGGTAATTGTAACAACAGAGAGCGAACGCCTGCTTCCTCCAGATAGGTCTTTGTAGGTAAGGAGCTCTCGTGTATTCTGCACATTCTGTATTTTCCATACATTTCTGGCCTCCTCTGCTTATCTTGCGTAGGCCCCTACTACACATAAAAATCTCATTGTAGATGACTTTAAGGATACATGTGGAGTATTCTGCAGAAGTTCTGCGCCAACCTGGCTAGCTTTCACAATAGGTGCATTTACAGAAATGTGAGAATTTGGTGCCCCAGCTACAAAGAACTTAGCGTCTCTGCTACAAGACTTGTGGCTCAACCAAGCTCCGGCAGGTCGGGTGGCGTTAATGAGGACGCCTCACCTCTCTACGCATCCACGTCCCCTGGGCCTGCAAGGAACACTCCATTAATTTTTTTTTTAAATACTATAAATATATATATAAATATTATTTTAAGTTAATGATCAAAGAAAATATGCATGGTCTGCAACAATCTCTAGGTAGATGGTATGTGTCAAAGAAACACCCACATGAATGCCAGGACCCAAGATTTCCCAGCAGAACATTGCCCAGAGCATAATATTGCATCTGCTGACCTGCCTTCTTCCCATAGTGCATCCTGCTGCCAGAAATTCCCCAGGTAAATGATGTACATGCAGCCGGCCATCCACCTGTTCTCAAAGAAGACGTGATTCATCTTGCCAGGAAACCTTCTTCTATTGCTCTATGGTCCAGTTCTGATGGTCACGTCCCCATTGAAGACCCATTTGGACATCATGGGCACTTTGACCAATGAGGCTATGCAGCTCCTTACACAGCAAACTGTGATGCACTGTGTGTTCTGACACCTCTCTATCATGGCCAGCATTAAGCTTTTCAGCAATCTGAGGTGTGATTGGACCAAATGGGCAGGCCTTTGCTCCCGACATGCACCAATAAGCCTTGAGTGGCCATGACCTTCTTACCGATTCATTGGTTGGTTTTCCTTGTACCACTTTTGGTCAGTACTAACCACTGCATACCAGGAACAACCCACAAAACTTGCAGTTTAAGAAATGCATCAATATCTGGTGCATCACTCAGATCTTGTTGCTTGCACATTTTTCCAGCTTCCAACACATAACATTTAATAGCTGACTGCTTTGAGGACCAGATACTCATGTTGTATTACAGCTCATTGAGAATTCTTTGAAAAGCATGTGCCCTGGACAGGTCCCTATCACTTGAACTTAGCTTAGGTAACTGGAAGAAACTGCTCTTCACTGTCTGACAGCCAGGGAGGTCTAACCGTATTTAAATATAGCAGTGCTGATTTATATTGAAAAATAACTTGTGCTTAATTTAGAGTTGTTTCCTCTCTGACTTAGTGCCCATGAGACTCGAAACACGTTGGCTTTAATATGGTGGTGTCTTCACTACTACTGGTTCCATGCTGTGATCTTTAACTATGAAGCTATAAATGTATTGTTTTTTTTTTTTTTTATTCAATATTGCACTGTTTGCATTTTTTTTCATAATGATTTTTGGCTAATTTAGTATTTTTTCTTTTACAAGCTCTGTACTTGTTATAGCCCTTGTGCAATTATCCCCATCTGTGATATTCAGATAACTCAAACACCTTTTGCACTTTTGCTCAGTTAATTTATCTTCCTCTGAAGAGGAGTTTAGGACAACCCTTCTAAATGATTATAGGTGGTTTAAACAGTCAATTAAGGTGTAAATTACTGAACTGTAATTTGTAGGTAAAAATAGTGGTCTAAAAAATTTGTTTTTCTAATGTCATTATTTTTGCCTAAATCTTATAGGGATACTATAGTCACCAGAACAACTACAGCTTACTAGAATTGTTCTGGTGAATATAATCAGTCCCTGCAGGGTTTTTGCAGTAAACATTGCTTTTGTCAGAGAAAAGGCAGTGTTTACATTACAGCCTAGGGGCACCTCCACTGGCCACTCCTCAGATGGCTACTAGAGGTGCTTCCTGAGGCAGTGCTGCACACTACATGCTGTGTCTCCCTCTGCATGGAAACCCTAAACTTTCCTCATAGAGATGCATTGATTCAATGAACCTCTACGAGGAGACGCTGATTGTCCAGGGCTGTGTTTGGCTTGTACTGGCTCTGGCCCTGACCTGCCTTCTTGACAGTCTCAGACAATCCTACAGGAAGCATCATGATTGGCGCAAATCATCACTTCTGATGATGTCAGTCAAGGAGGCAGATTATGGACAGAGACTGTAGCAGAAGAATGGAATAAAGGTATGATTTTATTATATTTAGTATGGAAAGGGGTGGGCCAGGGGGGCTAGATTGTGTTTTTAACACTATAGCATCAGGAATACGTTTGTATTCCCTATACTTGTAAGATACATTATGTATGTCGCAGATTCGCCGGAGGCAGCAACAAAGTGGTAGAGAGGGATCTCAAAAGCCTCAGTCCTTCATGGAGGCCTGCATCACTGAGCTATGGATCTGGAAACATTCAAAGTCCAAGTCCTTCCCAACTGGGATATAGCCAAGGATCGATGCGGTCTGTCGCTGCTGTCTGCGTTCAATCCTCCGCCGGTGTGGTTGATGCAATGGGGGTATACCCCTGTTGGCCTTCAGCCTGTCAGGGTACCTGTGCTTTATACTCCTGCTGAGACCCAGCCTGTGGATTGCCTCCCAGAGAAGGGGGACTGTCCTCTTCCTCCTTCCACTCATCTCAGCGGTTCTGATCCCGACCCATTTTATGATGCAGCGCGTGTGCGCCGATGTCAAGATGTCGATGACATCATGACCTGCCAAAACGTCACACTATAAAAAGGGATCATGAACTATGAATCATTGCCCTGTTGTGGTATAAGTTTCTTTGTTCCCTATTGTGTGTTTTCTGGTTTCACTTGGGGTTTGGTTTGACTAGTCTGTTCTCCTTCCCTTTGACTCTGCTTGTACTTTTCACTTACTTGTTTTCTGGCTTCCTTGAACTCGGCTCGTCCCTGACTATTCTCTGTCCTTACTAATGTTAGTCCATTCTAAGGTCCGGTATATGTTTTCCTAATTGCACTCTGCATATTGTATGCCTGTGTTGTTCCTGACAAAGTGAAGGTGGGTAATTGTGGTGTGAAACAATCGCTTGTGATCGAGCAGTACCAGAGGTAGGCCCACCTCCCCTCTGCTCCTCACTTCTCTGACCTTCACCTTTTGTAGCTGAGATGCTGCTGCTCGTGCCTCCAATTTAGCCCCCCAAAATTTAAATATCTCCTCTAGTCTCTGCAGAGATCTCTCTACGGGGTCATTCTGGTCTTGATGGTTCAGTTTGAGCATCGTATTCCATGATGTGAAGCTATAGGTAAATTCCAATAAAGAATTGGATCAGAGCACCACAGTGGGGGCCAGGATAATCCCCCACCGTCCCTGGGTGGGGGATGCACAATGCAAAGCTTTCAAGGATATGCAATACGTAGTAGCTCAGGAGATCAGCCACCTCTCCCATCGACATCCTCACCAGGCCCCTTTGAGCTCGACAGGAGATTCAAAGACTATCACTTTGTGGTACGGAACCGCGTCATTCCGACCAGTATTAAGAACAGGTGAGTATCTGATCATGGTGATCGAGAGTGCTGTGAGTCAAATTGGTCGCTCAAGATTAGAGCTAGATAAGGAGCCCTCTCAATAAGCGTCTGCCCACCATAAAGCTCAACCTCCCCTCCCCCCGCTTACTATTATTTCACAAATGTTATTGATATATAAGAAATATGTGTTTGTGAAGTTTGAAAAATAAAATTACATTTAGAAATCCACACTTCTTTATGTTGCAGAAAGGACTCTTCTTTGGTTCTTGCACCAGGGCCCTGTGATTCCTAGTTACGCCGCTTGTACTGTCCTCTCAAGTTTGGGATTAAACTTTTCGTAAACCAGAAACAGATCATCGGAGCAATTAATCTGACTCCCAAAGAGAAATTCTATTCCAATGTCTTCAATACCCCCACAATTCTAAACTGTAAAGTTTCACTGTCATTTAGTTTTAATATAACAGGCAGCCGATCACTGCTACCAACGTTGGATAGAAATCACAATTCTAATGCTGAAGTCTTAATTATGTATTATTAATGCAACTGAAGACAGGACAATTTCAGAAAGTGGAAGTGTTGCCCGATTACCTTTATGGCTGTCATAAGTTACATTTGTAATTTTAAGAAGACTTCAATATGCATTTCTTAATATAAAACCGGAGCAAACCTTATTGATTTACTCTAGGTGTTTCCATAGCCTCCAGCACAGACAGTTAAGAAGCTTTGTATAGTCACATGTCCCCTTCTTGCAGACTGTGGATTGTGAAACAAAAAGGGGGTTTGGCTAAGAACATTATTCTGTTCTTCAAAACAACTGCCATGTGTTTTCCATTAAAATCGTAAAAATGCAGCATGAAAACCCGTTACAAGGTTTTTTTTTCCAGACAAGCGGCTAAGGAGGAAGCGAGGACATTCCAATTTTGTGCAATGACTGCCATAGTCACACTTTGTGAAGTCTTATATTAATGTACTACAGTGTATTACATATTATATTAGCAGAGATGGATTTGTTACTCTTTCTTGTCTGTGCCTCTCCCTAGCTAACATTTAACACTCAAAACGATGTTAGACAGCAGAAATAGATTTATCATATTTCCTGTTTACTGATTACTCATATGGTTTGCTGCTTTATAAGCAATGTACAGAGATAAATTCTGGGGCAAAGTTCTAAGTTTGCAAAGTTACTATGGATAGCAATGGAATGTTACTGCTGCTTTGCTCTACTTTTATTTTGCCCCAGAATTGCCATTTGTATGGAACCTCCAAGTGATCTTTCAACTACCGAAATGTTTTAGATTGTTGGTCCTGATGTTGTCTCTCTCACTGTTTTATAGCGAGATGTAGACATATCTGGACTTGGGAAATTTAGATTAAAAAACCCATGCGCATGGCAGGTTGTATTAAACCTTGGCCACAGGAGAGGGGGGAACAGAGTGGAGGAAAAAAGTAGACTTTGTGTTTTAAGACCCTTCGGTCATACAGCTATATCTTACCAAAGGTGCCTGCCTAATTTTAGGAATGGCTGGTCCATTTATAGTCTTATGCACCTTTTTCTATCTTTGCTCTTGCTCTTCTCCTCCCTCAGTCTCTCCTGTTTTTTTAAATTTTTATTTGAACAGCTACATATGAATTTTTTTCTTCCCCTTTTATCTTTTTACAGTCTTTCTTTCTGCACGTTCGTCTTGGTGAATTATGTGATTCTGACGTTCTCTTCAAAGCTTCTTCATCAAATAGGTGCAAAATATACCAAAGTTTAGGCTCTTTCAATAACTGTACATACTATTAAGTATTTATTTTCCAATGATGATAGCTAAGTGTTATACTTGATAATGTACTGTCATCCTGTTCCTACTGATTGCTTTTGTATGGATTTTCTGTAAAGGTGTATCTCACCCCCCCACTAAAACTTCTTACAATAAAAAGAAAATGGCATATTGGAAAGAAGAGAATTAGTGCCTGTTTCACCAAGTCCCTTGAGACATGACGCTGAAAGGATCCAGATATAGCCCTGGAAAGACTTAACCTATAAATGGTTAAGCCAGTAACATAAATGCAATGATTATCCCACTTACAAATTGTATAGAATTATAAAATGACATTGTGGGGTGGGAGGAAGGGGGCATCACACACACACACCATGAGAGAGGAAATTAGCCATTCCACAGTAATTGGTCTGGGAGACCCATATTCAACCACTCTGATGGGTTTGGTAGCCACTCCAAAATCGTTACAAGGACCCTACTCTCATTCCTACATTTATTAAGAAAAAGTTATATTTTTTTGAGTCTAATCAATTTGGCATAATATTCATCTAATTGCAGCTAACATTATTTTAAAGTTAATGTAAAGTTTGGTCTGATGACATTCTCTGCATTGGCAAATGAAGACAGCATTTGGCAAATAAAACATTTAGTCCAAAACTTATTTATTTGGTTGCCCTCACATAAAATCTATGGGATGTTAATCTTAAACTGATGAAAATAAACCATAACAAATTTAATCTATCCAAGCCTAGCCAAACTAAAATACATATTCATCAACCATACTATAATCTTTAGTATTACATTACTAAAATCTATTAAGCTGAATGTGGTTTTCAGTGTATATATAAGTGTGATTAATCCATACAAGAAATTATTTGATGTATCACATGTTATAGATTGTAGAGTATTTTGTCATTTCTGATTTTGTTGCTATAATTGTTGGTTATTAAGTGGTTTTATTTTACATGCGACATAGAAACATTGCCTAAAATTATTGTTTGCTATGTATGATCCATGTTCCAAGGTGATTGTCTGACTGCAGAAAATTCTATTATATAACCATCTGAAAGCTATCGTAGATTCACGTTTGCGTGCAGTTCACGGGGGTGGGGGGGACTTACTTCAGGATCAAACGCAGGATTAAACCACATCTGTTTGGACTTAAACAGCATTGTCTACGTAGTTCAAAGTTGTTTCCTTTTTGTCTAAAAACAAAAGAGGGGGGAAAAACCCAGCTGTTTTTTATCTAAAATTCTTAGCCACTGACTAAAAAACTTGTTTTCATTGGCGGAATGATGCTGTTGCTTTAGAATGAGATCATTACAGAGACAATACAATTGTGTGTTTTTTTCTATAAGATTTCTTGTACCACCTTGGGAAATGGTGTAGGATCAACATGGCGACCATATGTCTACTATCTCCTATCATTATCTCCAACCAAAAGAAATTATGAAGTGTTGGCCTGGGATAGATTTGAGTGGTTGTGGTATTAATGATTTGGAGTACAGTGAAGGCCACCTGTCCATCATTCAGCAACCTTTTTTGACAGAGACAATAATTAGAACAAGTATCTCCATCACACATCTTAAGTGTATATAATCTCACATGTTTGGGCATCTATGACTTAACTAGATGCCCCATTAGCTTCATTCAAGACAAACACATGGCTCTCATTTCTTCTGTAAAGTATTGTTTTCTTCTAGGCATAGAATATCTGTTCCATCACTGGTTGTTATTTTGCAATGTATTAATGTTTTTTAGGCACAAACCCAAAGGAACAATATAAAAATAAATAAAAACATGTCTGCTTAAAAGCCTTACATCCTATTATTGCATCATGTTTTCTGATCTCAGTGTTCATTATTCATGCCAAGGCATATACCTGGACTGATATACCACGTATAGCAGAAACACCTTAGTGGGAAAAGGAGAAAAAAGGGTAAAAAAGTACTTTTACCCTGGTAAGGTATTGTATGTAGAGTAGGACTCCTCCAAGCCCTCAATCACAGAATACAAAGTACCAAATAACAGGTAACAACAACGCAAAAAGAGAAAAACATAGGGCAATATTGCCGTAGCTAAAACAATATAAAAATGGGTAGAACGCACACTCACAAACCCAAATTTGATTGAAGGCGTATCAAATAATATGTAGAGTATCCTCGTGTTCAGATTGCAGCACGTGGGAGAGAGGAATTGAAAAAATAATAGTGCAGAGTTTCTAAAAACAGTATGTCTTTAATAAAGACTTAAAAAATAAAAGAGAATAAAAAAAGTGGAGTAAAAGAAACTCTTAGCACTACCTAGAGATAGGTAATGTTAAGACTTTCTTTTACTCCACTTTTTTTATTCTCTTTTATTTCATTTATTATTTTTGATGCTGTTTGAGGTTCCCATCAGTGTACATAACATCTGAAGGTGTTCCTGTGTGCTGCTATTGAGATGTCATTTTGTGATGTGCTTATCTAATACCTTTACCTTGTAAGTGCAATATTTATTAAAAACTTATACTGTTTTTAGAAACTCTGCACTATTATTTTTTCAATTCCTCTCTCCCACGTGCTGCAATCTGAACACGAGGACACTCTACATATTATTTGATACGCCTTCAATCAAATTTGGGTTTGTGAGTGTGCGTTCTACCCATTTTTATATTGTTTTAGCTACGGCAATATTGCCCTATGTTTTTCTCTTTTTGCATCGTAGTTACCTGTTATTATATGCCTGGACATAGGAGGCTCTCTAGTTAGGCGATTTAGGCAGGCGTTTAAGCCCTCATGTTTGCTGTGGCCTTGCAGCTGCCCAACTCCTCTAACTGAAGAATAGAACCTGTAGCATAGGGCAGGCAGCAGAGGGCTACTGCCAGAGGCCCACTATTAGGTGGTGTAAGGAGTGACAGCAGCCATCTGCTCCTCACACTGCCGCTGATTCGGGGCAGAGAAAGGCAGGACCAGCATAGGTACCGAGCATCAGATAATATTGCAGGCAGTCCCCAAGGATTAGGGGAT